ATCAAGGTATGGTAGGCAAGCCTGATCAAGCTTGAGAGTGGGTAGAAGGCAGGCAGGGTCTGAAGGCTGCTGAAGCTGCACCCTTCCTTCACCCCTGACCGCACTGCTGAGGGGCATATGTTGATCTCTGCTGAGACCCAGGCCAAGAATGCCCGCATCAAGGTATGGTAGGCAAGCCTGATCAAGCTTGAGAGTGGGTAGAAGGCAGGCAGGGTCTGAAGGCTGCTGAAGCTGCAGCCGTCTTCCACCATATTAAGTACGTCTTCCACCATATTAAGTACGTCTTCCACCATATTAAGTACGTCTTCCACCATATTAAGTACGTCTTCCACCATATTAAGTACGTCTTCCACCATATTAAGTACGTCTTCCACCATATTAAGTACGTCTTCCACCATATTAAGTACGTCTCCCTCTCACTCTGCTAGCCTCCACTTTCCACCTTCCTTTCTGTCCTACCCTCTCACTGTGCGCCTCATCCACTGTTCACTCCCTTCGCTGCCTCTCCCCTCTCTCCCTCCCTCTCCCACCGCTCCCTTGCCCATCACCAGGTGTGGGAGGGGTACGTGGAGGGGCAGGACGCTGCCAACGCGGCAGCCTCGGAGGCGTCGCTGCTGCAGGCGGGGGGGAAGCAGGAGCTGGTGCACGTGCAGGTCACAGAGGTACTGGGTGGAGGGCAGTTTTACGTCGTGGAGAGTGCATCGGGGCTGCTGCCGCGCCTGGAGGGGGCGATCAAAGAGCTTCAGCTCAATGAGGCGAAGGCGCCTGCTCCCGGGACATTTGCGCCAAAGAAGGGCGAGTTTGTGTTTGCACAGTTCAGCGCTGATGACAGCTGGGCGCGCGCCATGGTGAGTGGTGGACATGGTTGGAAACGGTGGGGAAGGGTTGGGAACGGCTGGGAACGGTTGGGAACGGTTGGGAATGGTTGGAAAGGGTTTGAAAGGGTTGGGTTTGAAGTGGTCTGAGTTCATGTTTTTTACATCAATGGCAACCAGGAAAGCCTCCCTTTCGCCCATCCAGCCCTTCTTCCCTTCTCCAGGAGACCCTCCCCCCTGTGCACCCCCTAAACATCCTTCTCCCCCAACCCACACTCCCCTCCTCCAGGTGGTTACTGCCCCTGCCGATGCCACCCCAACCCGCACGTCTGAATATACGGTGTTCTATATCGACTACGGCAACCAGGAGACCCTCCCCTTCGCCCGTCTTCGCCCGCTCGACAACCCTACTGTCTCCCCCTCCTCCTTCCCGCGCGGAAAGTCCGAGGGGCTGGGTCTGGCGCAGCTGTGCCGCCTGGCCCATGTGAAGGTGCCGGGGTTGGAGGAGGACTTTGGGCAGGAGGCCGCGGAGGAGGTGCAGGGACTGACGGGGGGCAAGACGCTGCTGGCTCGGGTGGAGGAGAGGGATGCGAGCGCGGGGACCAAGGTGAAGGGGCAGGGCAGTGGCGTGTGCTGGGTGGTGACGCTGGTGGATAGCGAGACATCGACGAGTGTGAATGCGTCTCTGTTGCAGGTATGGCTAGAGGGATGGCAGCGCGAGAGATAGAGTGGTATGGGGTTGTGAAGGGGCAGAGGAGTGGTGTGTGCCGGGTGTGTGGTGGATTTTAAAACTTCAATGAGTGTAGATGCATAGCTTTTCCACTGTCATTCCATCCAATCCATCCACCCCCTGTCCACCCTCCCTCCACCTACTGTCTTCCGCATTTGCTGTCTTCCCCATTCTTACTCCCCTGAGGCTCATTTACGTCGTTCCGTTTCCCCTGATGGCCATATTCTCAGTTCGCATCATTCCTGCTCCTCTAATGCCGATGTACTCGTTCGCACAGGCTGGGTTGGCTCGGCTTGAGAAGCGCAGGGGGGGCGTGAGGAACCCTGCTCTGGCAGCTGTGCTAGAGGGGCTCAAGGAGAGGCAGGAAATGGCCCGCCAATCACGGCTGCACATCTGGCAGTACGGTGACGTGGACTCCGATGACGAGGACGACAGGGGCCGCCGCCCAGGGCCTCATGCCGGCCGCAAGTGAGGCGGGAAGCTACCAATGCATTTTTTTTCACTTGGTTTAAAACCGTCAAAACCAGCAATCGGTACATGGAGACTAATTCGTTCTCTTTGCAATCACATGAACGCACTACGTGAACAGAAAAAAACTGTTGTGCACTACAATGTTTTGGGTCCTAAACAATGATTTTGAAGGATATAATACACTACAAGCCACGTTCCATCAACTGTCGTACCTGATCCTATCAAATCGCGCATTTCTGTTGTTCAAAATGGCTTCACCAGTGTCACACTTCAACATTCGACCTACTCGCGACATCTTGCGGGAAAAAATAATCCTGCACTGTACTATGATTGAGTTACAACATATTTTCAATTTCGCCACTCCTAACCTCCCGCGATATTCTGGAATGATGGTTGCCGTCGAAATCGATTTTGCACACGCGTTTCGTGAAGAGTCGTCTTCGTCGTTAAGGGCGCGTGTCTTTTGTTGTAGACGTGCAGAAAAAAGGTGACCTTTGCTGGTAACCTGATTTGCATACTTCGCTAGGACACCGTGTGTCCTAGTTCAATCTATGTGAATGAAGCTGGACACGAACTAAAGTCGACTTTAAAGTCGACCTTTTGACACAGTTCGGATTTTTACGTTAAAGTTAATCCAACCGTGTGTTCTTTTGCCCACGCACGGACATTTGCGAGTTTCGCGACGTTAACGAGGTACAGCATACAGTGTTTCCAAATCTGGATTCGGTCACGACAGCACTGCGAAAACCGGTAACCTTCAAAAATTTAGCACGACTCGGGATTGACTGTTTAAGGTGAACTGTGATAGTCGAACTTTTGTTGTTCCATGCACGAATCGGGTTTGTTGACGCTGCTCCTCTACCACCAAAGTCTAGATGCTCGAGCACAGGTCGACCAAAGTTCAGATGTGAAAGTTCGACATTAAAACATGAAGGTCACCCCAATTTGCAAAAGATACGCGCCCTGAGCTCGCCCACTCGCAAGCCCCTGACTATGGGCTCACCTGACTGACTCCCACATGATTCGACCTGCGCTCGCCCGATGTGTTTCGTTCAGGGCACCTGCCAGACCAGATACGAGATGTGATGGTGGAAGTCGTCACAGAAAAGATATCTGTCTCAGGGTTTTTGCCGGCCAACGTCAGCCCCTTTCAAGCACTTGGGACTGAGGACGATGCGACGGCGACTTATGTCCGGCAGTCAAATGCCCCCAGCAGCTGTAGTCGTCAGAGGATCCTTGAGTTGTTTTGACAACCTGGCGAGTTCATTCGTGGGGCCAAAAATTGCTGCGTGCTGCTTGGAGAGAACTCGGACTTCCGCTGGTGCCTAATCGTACAACCATATACTATCACTACAGCAGCACTTCAGCAGTCAGTATTTCCAATTCTAAAACTTCATTTTTTTTCTGGGTTAAAGCTACGATGGCTGCGGCCTCTGCTCGCATTCTAAGAATCTCTTTTGAACAACCACATTTGCTGGTAATCTTCTCGTTATTATTGGCCCCGCTGCGACCTTACGCTTCCCTTCACCCTCTATCAGGAAGTTCTACGGGCCATCAGAAAATGGGATCATCGAACCTCTGCCGTTCAACGGTTACCCTAGTAGGCCGCCGGACAGTAACGGGACACCGACGAAAACTAACAGTGCGGTTCACCGGCTGAGCGTTAATAGTCCGGCCCGCACATACCGGCCGTCTGGTGGTAGTTACCGGCCGTTAACTCGTGGTGGGAGGAGGCTGCCGCCGGCGACCCGCTACCCGCTTTTGGAGCTGATTCTACCGTGCGAGGAATGGGAGGGGTGCGACTGGAACGATGTGACTAAAACGAAGGTAGCGGAATTGGAGGTGCGGAGGGGGTTCGGGGATGGACAATCGGAAACGGATCAAGGGAGCAAAGGGAAGGGATCTATTAGAGATATGGACGGCGGAGATGTATCCGAAGGACCCGCGCTGGTTCAGATGGACGGCAGCAACGAGCGGAATGGGGATCATGGGACGGCTCGTTCTACTTGCGATGATGAGGCTGGTGAGCGGAATGAGGGGATGAAGAGGGAGGAAGAAATGGGGGAGTCTGAGATTAGTGGTGTTGGCGCTACTAGTAAAGAAGAGGTTGATGAGGAAGAGGAGGATATTCGTGCGTGGGAGGGAAAAAGCAGTGGTGACAGCGCTGGTAACGAGGAGACGGAGGAGGAGGAGGAGGGGGAGGAGGAGGGGGAGGGCAAATGGGAGGGAGAGGAGGAAGGGGAGAAAGATCAAGAAGGGGAAGCGGGAGATATTGTGGAGTCTGTCTCGAGGGAGATTCATGCATGGGAGGAAAAAGACAGTTTTCAAAGAGCACGGCAGAGGGATGTTAAGGGCCAACAAGTGAGGAAGCTGACTTTTGAGTCAACTCAAAAGTCAGTCTCGAGGGAGATTCATGCATGGGAGGAAAAAGACAGTTTTCAAAGAGAAGGGAAGAGGGATGTTGAGGGCCAACAAGTGAGGAAGCGCACGGGGTTAAGGGGAAGAAGGCGGAAAGAGGGGGAGAGGAGTGGTGTGAGGGGAATGAGGGATGCGAGACTCGGAGTGATGGAAGCGAGGAAAGGAGGAGTGTGTGGGTTCTCCAAGCCGGACAGTCGAGGCGTGAGGGCAACTCGGAGACGAAGGCTGGCAGACAGATGGATGGCAGGGCTGCCGGAAAGCACCGGGAGAAGAGCGATTGAAAAGCCAAGTCCTAGCAGAGGAGACAGTTGAAGGAGGCTGGCGGATGGGTGGGTGGGTGGGCTGCCGGATAACACCGGGAGAAGAGCGATTGAAAAGCCAAGCACCAGGGGAGGGAAAGGGGGGAGGACGCTGGCGGATGGGTGGGTGGGTGGGCCGTGGGAGGAATCGGCGTCGGCGTTCCGGTGGGTGAACGAGGTGGGGAAACAAGAGGACGTGCTGGCGTTTCCCGACAGCTACTACCAGTGGCAGTGGCCCGTGGCTAGGCTGGGGGTAGCTGGCGGAGTATGTTCATGCGGGGCGACACACGATACGACATCAAGGTGAGTTGGAGATGGATGAACGAGGTGGGTGAACGAAGTGGGGTATGAGGTGGGGAAACAAGAGGACGTGCTGGCGTTTCCCGACAGCTACTACCAGTGGCAGTGGCCCCTTTCAGCGCAGAGGCTGGGCGGCAACTGGCGGAATATGTTCATGCGGGGGAACGCGCACTATGACGTTAAGGTGAGCAATTAGCAGGTAGCAAGTGAGGAAAGGACAGTACGTGGCACTGTGGCAGTCGCCCGTGGCTTGGCTGGGTGGCAGCTGGCGTGGCACTTAGCAGGTAGCAAGTGAGGACTGTGGCACTGTGGAAAGGTCAGTACGTGGGTGGCACTGTGGCAGGCGCCCGTGGCTTGGCTGGGTGACAGGCAGCTGGGGTGGCATGGCATGTTCATGCGGGGCAACGTCCGGTATGACGTCTGAGTGAGTGACGATAAGTGAATCACTTAGCTAAGAGTAGTTCTTAGCCTGGACAGTGTTGCTGCTACTAATGAAGATCAAGTGAATCACCACCACCGCGGCTGTTGATTGATAGCAGGTGGCGCCATGGTCGTGGCTGGTGGGTAGAGCGGATGACAGCTGGCAGTGATAAGTCGATTTTTGAGTCGACTGAAAAATCGGCTTATCACACGTGGGGAGAGTGGATGACAGCTGGCATGGCATGGCAGGGCATGGCAGGGCATGGTTCATCGCGTGGAAGGGTTGTTTGTTGTTTGGCATCATGGTATTCTGCAATGCTTAGCGGAATATATTTAGTCCTCTTGGCGTTTCATTGAGCCACTCATTTGGCCTCCTCGTCTCCTCTCCCTACCTTGTCCGCTCCTTCCTCCCCCCCTTTCACAACACCCCCTCATGCAACGACTTTTGAGGCGCCTCAAACGTCCTTTCAGAACACCCCCTCATGCAAGGGCATCCTCCCCACATCAGCCTACGTCAACAACCCCACCGGGATTCAGACGCTGGCGTCTCAGAACTGAAGTTTCTGAGCGACTTGCAGCGCAAGGTGGAGAGCAACGAGTCCATCCCTGCCTCCTTCCCTCCCCCCCCGCACTCCGACCCCTTTCAGAACACCCCCTCGTGCCAAGGCATCCTCCCTGCATCAGCCTACGTCAATGACCCCATCTGGCGCGCGGATGCTGGTGTTTCAGAGCTCAAGCTTCTGAGCGACTTGCAGCGCAAGGTGGAGAGCAACGAGTCCGTCCCTGCGGGCCTTGAGGATTTCATGCTGAAGGAGCGCTGGCTCATTTGGATGCCGCGCTTTGGGCTGGGGAACTCTCTGCGGGCGTACACTTCCGCGTTCATCTTTGCTTTGCTGTCGGGACGGCGGCTGCTGAGGTGGAGAGGAGGCAACCACAAGCAGGTGAGGGCGTGATGGGAATGTTGTGCGTGTGGCATGAAAGTGCGGCTTGGGCTGGGCAACTTTCTGAGGGCATACACTTCGGCGTTCATCTTCGCCCTGCTGTCGGGAAGGCTGCTGCTGCGGTGGAAAGGAGGCAGCCACAAGCAGGTGAGGTGAGGGTGATTTTAGTTTACTGGGGTTATGGGTTTTGCGTGTAAGGGTTTCAGGCAAATTCCACCAGAGAAATTAGCTCCTTTCATAATCACATCCTTTGATGAAAGTCTTCATCCCGTGCTACCTCTTCCTCCCATCCCATCTGCCTTCTCCAGGTGTTAGAGCGTTTGTGTAGCGCATTCTACTGTGGCATAGACGAGTTGCACTATAAAGGGGACATCCGCAAGCACGCGAAGCTCATGAATGCGATAACACTCGAGATGCATGGCTTGGACTACAGCCCAAATGTCGTGGCTGTTTACACAGGTATGCTCGCTGCTCAATTCATTAGACTTTGGAGACGACTCAAAACGCAATCAAGTTCTTGGATCGGTGCGTGCTTGAGATGCATGGCTTGGACTACAGCCCAAATGTCGTGGCTGTTTACAGAGGTATGCCACTCATCCCATCCCATTGTATGTTTTTTGAGAATTCTCAAAAAACATGTCGTGGCTGTTTACAGAGGTATGCCACTCATCCCATCCCATTGTATGTTTTTTGAGAATTCTCAAAAAACATGTCGTGGCTGTTTACACAGGTATGCCACTCTTCCCATCCCATTTATGTGTGTGAGTGCATGTGGGGGATAACTGCTACAATAGTTCCCCTTAGAAAATGCTTTCGACTACATTAGGCATGGTTTGGGGAACAGCCCAAATGTTGTGGCTGTTTACACAGGTATGCCACTCATCCCATCCCATTGTATGTTTTTTGAGAATTCTCAAAAAACATGTCATGGCTGTTTACACAGGTATGCCACTCATCCCATCTATGTGCGCGAGTGCATGTGAACGCAGGCAAGTGAAAGCTAGTATTACCTCATTCCTTCGTAGCAAACCTACTAGTGGAAACGTTCTTATTGCTTTCTTAGTTCCTTCAAAACTTTGCATTGTCCAGATAAACAAACATTTAGACTAACCCCACTGGTTGTTACTCTACATTGCTCATTTGTCACAAAAGTGCTGCCTTAATTCTACCCACCAATAAAGACTTCGCATAACCTTGAAGTCTTGAATGTTTTTTTTTTTCCAATGCTAGGCTGCCACTCACTTTCTTGAGTCAAAGAGATAGAAATCGCAAACGCAATGCAAACGCAATGCAAATCATGTGCATAGATGCATTGTGCATATCAGTGATTGACGATACATGTTGATACACGCCGATGCATATTCATGCTGATAGATGCACGTTGCCACGCCAGTTGCATAACATCATCCTTTTGCTCCCAGTCCCTCTAATTTTGAGGCGCCTCATAACTGCACGTTGCCACTTGCATAACATCAAGAGTTGGTGGAAATAAGGCCTCCGCAGCCCACCTGTTTGACTTCGACAGCTCCTGCACGTTGCCACTTGCATAACATAACCTCCATCTGGTGCATCCGCTCCAAAGTGCTCTCTCTCCTCCTCGGCAAGGGCCCCAAGCCGGGGGTGCAAGAGGTGGTTGACAGGGACCTCAGGGTGGTGCCGCCGCTGGTGCTTGCAGGGACAGGGATAGGGACGGAGCAGAGGGAGGTGGAAGGAGGGAAGGTGAAGCCGCAGATGGTTCAGAAAGGGGAGGGACTGCGGGTGCAGTTTGACGTGTCGCTTCACATCCGTGGATTGTCAATGTGAGTATTTTCAAACCCAAGTATGCTCTCTGACCAAGCTTCCGGATTTTTCAGTAGCCCTTGTTTATTCAGTCATGTCCTTCAGAGAATGTGAGTACAAAAAAATAACAATAACAATAACAATAATAATAATAATAATAATAATAATAATAATAATAATAATAATAATAATAATAATAATAATAATAATAATAATAATAATAAAAAGAGGATCAGGAAGTGCATCTGGATTGCCATCCAACCACATCTGGATTGCATCTGGATTGACTGTTTTCCCACATCCAATCTCTTTGCCTTTCCAGGAATGTTAAGGGTAAGCAAGCAACCACTTGGCTAACAAGGGCAGCATTCTGCCAGACCCGCTGTGCTCACTAACCCATAGTAGGCAGATCTCTACCATGTGCTCACTGCCCACTGCCCACTGCCCACTGCCCACTGCCCACTGCTCACTGCCCACTGCTCACTGCCCACTGCCCACTGCCCGCTGCCCACTGCTCACTGCTCACTGCCCACTCACTTGCACTTTTGTGAAAATAGAGGGTGCCTAGTGCATGGATAAGGATGACAAGGAGTGCCAGAAGAGGGCGCAGCAGGGAGAGATGATGCGAGTGCAGGAGAGCTAACATGTGCTCACACACTTTTCATTTTCACTCCCTTGTGTTGAACCCCCAGGCAGGTGGAGGGTGATTACTGCACGGGCGAGGAAGACAAGAATTGCCAGAAGAGGGCGCAGCAGGAGGAGATTCAGCGTGTGCAGGAGCTGATGAAGCCCACCCAGTGGCGCTGCGTTGCCAGACTGCTGCAGTTCCTGTGCATCAAGAAGGCCGCTGCAGGGGGTTTCATAAATGCTACAGCTGCCGCTGGTCGGTCTGCCGATGCTACAACCGGTACTGGCCGCACTCCCAAAGCTACAGGCGGTATTGTTGGAACATCTGCCGCCACAGCCTCTCATGCTGCTGCCGACACTGCCACCAAGACAATAAAAGGTACAGCAAAGGCAGAATCAAGTAACAACAAAGAGACGAACTAATTCAGTGGAAGGGAACAATGAAAAGAGCAACGATAACAGGTTAAATGCAAACTTATTGCTGGTATATAAAACTTATTGTTGGTCTCAAAGCTATAGTTGGTATCTCACCATCATCCTACCGGTCTTCTCAATTATCCCATTCACCATCCCTCCTTACTCCCTCCAGTGCTGCTCGTCCATCTCCACGTGATAAAAGTTGTAATTTGAGAATTCGCTCCAGTGCTGCTCGTACATCTCAAAATACAACTTGCATCATTCACCATCCCTCCTTGCTCCCTCCAGTGCTGCTCGCCCATCTCTTCTGGCTCTCCCCTCTGCGGTCGTTTTTGAGGCGCCTCAAAAACGACCTCAATGCTGCTCGCCCATCTCTTCTGGCTCTCCCCTCTGCCCCATCCCTGACTTTTGAACCTGCACCTCCCTCTGTTTCTTCCCTCTCGCAAAGCAGGGAGTAAGCTGGAGAGAAGAAGGAAGCTTCAGCAGCGGAGGAGGCTGCAGGATGAATGGACGGTTGATGATTCGCTTCTTGTGGCCTCCGTCGCGCCACCTGGCGGGCCCCTAGCCACTCGTCTCGGCCACCTGAGGATATTTGTGGCTACAGATACAGACACTGTTCGATCGAAAGTGGTGGAGTTTTTACGGCCCTTCGGCGAGGTGTATTTTTCGGTTTCACCTCCCATGCATCTGTCGAAAGGTTTTGGGAACTATCTGGCAACACTTGCAGACTTTGCGCTCCTGAGCAAGGGAGCAGTGCTGGTAAGCTTCACTCGCTTCACTAGCTCACTTTCTTTCTTTGCAGGCTTGTTGGGTAATGGGACAATTGTGAATAATCCTGCAGTAGATCACACTTGCAGCTTTGTTGTAGAGCATATGGGAGAGTTATGGCCGTAAGAGTACCGTAGTGAGTTACAGTATTTACTTTCAGATTCCAGTGATTGTTCTATTGTTTTTTTTGCTTTATTGGTATCACCCCCGGTCCCTGGATAACAGTCCCTAAAGACTCCTAGTTTTTTTGCACTCTTTTTTTTTTGGAAGGGGGGAAGGGAAGGGCCAGTGTCCCAAATGACACATACAGAGGATACATATATCAATATAGGCCGTTCAATATATTACGGTAGTAACTCTCCCATATGCTCCACATCAAAGCGGCAAGTGTGCTCTAAAGCAGGATCAGCGACGACTGTCCCATTGCCCAACATGCCTGCGAAAAAAGCAAACGTGCTAATGTATCGAGTGAAGCTCAGCAGCACTGCTCCCTTGCTTAAAAGTGCAAAATCTGCCAACGTCGCCAGATAGTCCCCACCAGATTTTGACAAGTGAACAGCAGGTGAAGCCGAAAAATACACCTCACCAAAAGGCCGTAAATTTTCCACCACTTGTGATAGAAAAACTTCTGTATCTGTAGACACAAATATCCGCAGGTAGCCTAGATGAGCGGCTGAGGGCTCGCCAGGTGGCATGATGGAGGCCACAAGAAGCGAATCATCAACCGTCCATTCATCCTGCAGCCTCACTCTTTGCTGAAGCTTCCTCCTCCTTTCCTTCTTAGTCCCTACTTTAGCACTAACCCGTGGATACTCTGAAAGCCGCGCGAAGGGAAGGCAAGGGGAAAACGGGTTCAAAAAGGGTGGATTTACAGGGTCAGGATAGGAAAGGAAGGCAAGGGGAAAGCAACAAAGGAAGGTGCATGTTAGAATATACGGATGGGGTGGAGCGGTGAGCCAGGGAATATGGAGAAGGGCAACAGTACCAAAAAGAAACACTTGACCGTTGACGGCCAAATGAGAGGCTCAACAGGATTAACAGTAGAAAACTCGTGCGAACAAAAAAAGAGGTTTTAATATAAGGATGGGGTGGAGTGGAGAGGCAGGGGAGATGGAGGGGCAGCACTGGGGTGCACGGAGGGCTGCAAAGGCTCATGGCGAAATGGATGATGGTGAAATGGATTACGGGGAAGTGGATGATGAATGGTGGTGAGTGGTGGTGAGTGGTTACACTTTCTGTCTTTTGGTGTTTGCTTGCTGTCTTTTGGTGTTTGCTTGCTGTCTTTTGGTGTTTGCTTGCTGTCTTTTGGTGTTTGCTTGCTGTCTTTTGGTGTTTGCTTGCTGTCTTTTGGTGTTTGCTTGCTGTCTTTTGGTGTTTGATTGCTGTCTTTTGGTGTTTGCTTGCTGCCTTTTGGTGTTTGCTTGCTGTCTTTTGGTGTTTGCTTGCTGTCTTTTGGTGTTAGCTTGCTGTCTTTTTGTTTGACTATTGTGTTTTCTTGTTTGCTTGTTTGCTTTGATCTTTGCTTGTTGTCTTTGCTGTACCTTTGCCTGACTTGGTGGCAGCGCTGGCGGCAGCATGAGTGGCTTTACCGTTGATTATCCCAACAGTATGGCCAGTAGTATTGAAAGACCCATCAGCAGCGGCTGTAGCATTGGCAGACCCATCAGCAGCGGCTGTAGCATTGGCAGACCCATCAGCAGCGGCTGTAGCATTGGCAGACCCATCAGCAGTGGCTGTAGCATAGGCAGACCCATCAGCAGCTGTAGCATTAGTGAAACCTCCTGCAGCGGCCTTCTTGATCCGGAGGAATTGCATCAGCCTGGCAATGCAGCGCCACTGCCTTGGCCTCATGTAGGCATGTGCCCGGACTTGCTGTCCCCGCTGCGCTTTCTCCTGGCATTTCTTGTCCTTGTGTACACAGTAATCGCCCTCCACGTTGCTGGAAAGGGGGAGGGGGGAGAACAGGGGATGGGCGGGGAAAAGGGTGGGGAAGGGGGGGCAGGAAGGGGCGAGTATGGGGATGGAGGGGGGTGGTAGGGGGCCAAGCGTGGAGGGGGTAGGGACCCGGGTGAACGGTGGGGGTGGTGGGGGGGGGAGAGTGGGGAGGAACTGCATCAGTCTGGCAATGCAGCGCCACTGCCTTGGCTTCATGTATGCATGCGCCCAGACTTGCTCTCCCTTCTGCGCTTTCTCCTGGCATTTCCTGTCCTTGTTGACACAGTAATCGCCCTCCACATTGCTGGAAGAGACAACAAAAGAAGTAAAAGTGAACGTCAACACATGTGCATGGCGAACTCTGTCCTGGTTGGCGCTGCGGCCACCCTCCACATTCCTGGAAAGGCAAAAAGATGGAATGGGAGGAAGAAATCAGCAACACGTGCGCATGCTAGGGCATTGCATGGTGCGATTAGGTCCTGGTCTCTCTGGCATCTCTGGTCCTGGTTGGCACTGCAGTTAGGTCACCCTCGACATTCCTGGAAAGGCAAAAAGATGGAATGGATTGAATCATAAAGCAACATGTGCTCATGCTAGGGCTCTGCCTGTAGGCCTCTCTCCCAACATCTCTTGTTCTGGTTGGCGTTGTGGTTTCCCCCTACATTTCTGGAAAGGCCAAGCGATGGAGTGATAAAAGGACGCCATAGACGTTTGTAGAGTTGGAATCGGGTAAGGAGAAAACACATGGGAGGGGGTAAGCACATGGAACGGGGTACTAAGAGTCAAGGCCAAGCGATGGAGTGATAAAAGAACGCCATAGACGTTTGTAGAGTTGGAATCGGGTAAGGAGAAAACACATGGGAGGCGGTAAGCACATGGAACGGGGTACTAAGAGTCAAGGCCAAGCGATGGAGTGATAAAAGGACGCCATAGACGTTTGTAGAGTTGGAATCTAAGTTGCAGAAGACGCGTCTAGCGTCTTAGGCGCTTGCGTCTAGACGCAGCGTCTAAGACGCAGGACGCGCGCCTTGGGCAGGTTAGACGCTGCAAAAGACGCAAGCCCGGGCAGGCAAAAAAACGTACGGGCTGCTAAAAAAAGCCTTCTATGGGGCATGGGGAGGGGGGGGGGGATGTGGACGTATATCACATTTGTGGGTCGAAATGTGTGGGATGGGGTCGAAATTTGGCGATTTTTTTTTCGGGCTGCCCAAAAAAACATCCGCCTTGCGTCTTGCGTCTTGGCGGCGTCCTGCGTCCAGACGCTGCGTCTAGACGCAGGACACTCTGCGCGTCTTCTGCAACTTAGGTTGGAATGTAGAGGGCAAGCGATGGAAGCGTTTTGGTTGCCCTCTACATTCCTGGAAAGAGCGCCATAGTCCTTCGTAGAGATGGAAAGGCAAAGAGAAAGATCAGTCAGCAGTACATGCACGCTGAAGACCCCCGCCTGCTGCACTCGCTGCTGGAAGGACGGGGCAAGGAAAGGACATACTAAAGAACCATAACCCATAAGCCCATCATGCCATCAAGCCATCAAGCCATCAAGCCATCAACCCATTAACCCATAAGCCCATCAAGCCATCAAGCCATCAACCCATAAGCCCATCAAGCCATCAAGCCATCAACCCATTAACCCATAAGCCCATCAACCCATCAAGCCATCAACCCATTAACCCATAAGCCCATCAAGCCATCAAGCCATCAATCCATTAACCCGTGAACCCATCAACCCATCAAGCCATCAACCCATTAACCCATAAGCCCATCATGCCATCAAGCTATCAACCCATTAACCCATAAGCCCATCATTCTATCAAGCCATCAACCCATCCATTAACCCATAAGCCCATCAAGCCATCAAGCCATCAACCCATTAACCCATAAGCCCATCAAGCCATCAAGCCATCAACCCATTAACCCATAAGCCCATCAAGCCATCAAGCCATCAATCCATTAACCCGTGAACCCATCAACCCATCAAGCCATCAACCCATTAACCCATAAGCCCATCATGTCATCAAGCCATCAACCCATTAACCCATAAGCCCATCATGCTATCAAGCCATCAACCCATTAACCCGTGAACCCATCAACCCATCAAGCCATCAACCCATTAACCCATAAGCCCATCAAGCCATCAAGCCATCAACCCATTAACCCATAAGCCCATCAAGCCATCAAGCCATCAACCCATTAACCCATAAGCCCATCAAGCCATCAAGCCATCAACCCATTAACCCATAAGCCCATCAACCCATCAAGCCATCAATCCATTAACCCGTGAACCCATCAACCCATCAAGCCATCAACCCATTAACCCATAAGCCCATCATGCCATCAAGCTATCAACCCATTAACCCATAAGCCCATCATTCTATCAAGCCATCAACCCATCCATTAACCCATAAGCCCATCAAGCCATCAAGCCATCAACCCATTAACCCATAAGCCCATCAAGCCATCAAGCCATCAACCCATTAACCCATAAGCCCATCAAGCCATCAAGCCATCAATCCATTAACCCGTGAACCCATCAACCCATCAAGCCATCAACCCATTAACCCATAAGCCCATCATGCCATCAAGCCATCAACCCATTAACCCATAAGCCCATCATTCTATCAAGCCATCAACCCATCCATTAACCCATAAGCCCATCAACCCATCAAGCCATCAACCCATTAACCCATAAGCCCATCAACCCATCAACCCATTAACCCATAAGCCCATCAAGCCATCAAGCCATCAATCCATTAACCCGTGAACCCATCAACCCATCAAGCCATCAACCCATTAACCCATAAGCCCATCATGCCATCAAGCCATCAACTCATTAACCCATAAGCCCATCATGCTATCAAGCCATCAACCCATTAACCCATAAGCCCATCAACCCATCAAGCCATCAACCCATTAACCCATAAGCCCATCAAGCCATCAAGCCATCAAGCCATCAAGCCATTAACCCATAAGCCCATCATGCCATCAAACCATCAACCCATTAACCCGTGAACCCATCAACCCATCAAACCATCAACCCATGAACCCATAAGCCCATCATGCCATCAAGCCATCAAGCAACCATCCCCTCCCATCAATCCAGTCCCTCAAACCCTCCAAGCCCTCAGTACCTCAATCCTTCTCAACTCAATTCTTATCAACTCGCATTGCGTGTCCACGGATGTGAATGGACAAGTCAAACTGTAGCCTTATCTCATCAAACCCTCAAACCCTCATGTAAACCCTCGAGCCCTCCAGTTCCTGAAACCACCCTCACACACTTCAAGCGCTGCTGAGTACCCAAATCCCTCTCCACTCACAAGGCATGTCCACAGATGTGAAGTGACACATCAAACTGCAGCCTTATCTCATCAAACCCTCATGTAAACCCTCAAACCCTCAAACCCTCGAGCCCTCCAGTTCCTGAAACCACCCTCACACACTTCAAGCGCTGCTGAGTACGCAAATCCCTCTCCACTCACAAGGCATGTCCTTTCAAACTTTCAAACTGAGAGGGATGTGAAGTGACACATCAAACTGCAGCCTCAGCCCCCCCCCCACCCCCCCCCCCCCTTTCACCAACCATCCGCATACAGACCACGCACAGCCTTATCCAGAAACAAACTGAGAAACCTCCTTTGCACTGAACTCACGTGTAGTGAGGGTGTTTTTGAGACGTCTCAAAAACTCCTTTGCACTGAACTCACATGGCATGTCCACGGATGTGCAACGCCAGGTCAAACTGCAGCCGCAGCCCCTCCCCTTTCTTAACCATCTGTGGTTCCATCGTCCCTGCATCCACCTCCCCCTCCTCCGTCCCCATCCCCCCCCCTGGGAGAACCAGCGGTGGCACCACCCTCAAGTCCCTGTCAACCACCTTTTGCACCCCCGGCTTGGGGCCCTTGCCTCCTGTCGCCTCCCCCTCCTTCATCCCCACCTCTTCCCCTCGGAGCACCAACGGGGGCACCAGCGGCGGCACCACCCTGAGGTCCCTATCAACCACCTCTTGCACCCCCGGCTTGGGGCCCTTGCCGAGGAGGAGGGAGAGCACTTTGGAGCGAATGCACCAGATGGTGCGGCAGGCAAAGGCGCTGTGCACGCACTGGTTGATCTGAGGGTCGCCACGCCACAATCTGTCGAAGAACTTGCCTAGGAATGATGAATGGGATGCAAGCACAAAAGGGCAGGGAGGAGGGAGGATGAGCAGGGGGAGGGAGCAGCAAGCACACTTGCGATTGGTTGTGTAGTTGCAAGTTGCAACCAAAGGTTGGTGTCATGGATGCATCAAGATGCATCAGTCTGCATGATTATGCATCGGCATTTATTAGTATGCTTCGGTATACACTGATGTATGTACATCAGTTGCATCAACAGGGCTGTAGGAGGAAAACCCATCTGATAATGAGCAAGACAAAAGGTACAGACTAAAGGGTTTGTTTAATTATGTGATATAGTAAAGGAATCAATGTGTTGCTGGGGGACTAGTGAGGTAGCAGTTATCAGTCGCATGCATTCGCATTGCATGCATTAACGCGATGAAAAGCATACCTGAGTAGACAGCCACAACATTCGGGCTGTAGTCAAAGCCATGCATCTCAAGCTTCCGTGAATCCATGAGCTTTGCATGCCTGCCGATATCCCCTTTATACTGCAACTCGTCTATTCCACAGTAGAATGCATTACACAATCGATCTAAGACCTGGTAAAATTGAGGATGGGGGGAAGAAGTTGCATGAGATGGAAGTGTGGAAAAGGTGGTGCATATAGGGAAAACGGCTTAATCACGTACAAGTCTTCTGTTTGCGTGCGCCATTTCAGAATTTTATTTACAATGTGCAAGAAGGTTTGGAGATGCTCCAAAACCTGACCCAAGTGCAACCAAGTGCTGACTTTTGAGAAACCGAAGGGTAAATTTTCAAAAATGATACAGCTTGAAAATGAAAGTCGTTTCTGGGAAAGGCACTATTCTTCATAGGGAGGGATCTTTAGAAAGGAGGAGGTGGGATTTAAGATAATTGAATGGTTTCAGAGAAAGGCAATGGTTAAAAACAAGGAGGTTCATGTTAGGAAATGCGTGGTTTTGGAGAAAAAAAAGCTTTCTTTCTTTCTTTCTTTCTTCTAAAATGACTAGGCTTCATATTACATGAGCAACAGGTTGACCCGACCCGACCCGACCCGACCCGACCGGACTAGACCTGACCCGACCCGTCCTGACCCGACCCGACCCAACCCGATCCGACCCGACCCGTCCCGATCCAACCCGACTATGCTCGATCTGAGGTGGGTACAGGAAATGATGGGGTAGCTGATGAAAAATGGGGTGGTTTTTGAGGCGCCTCAAAAGTCGTCCCATTACCCGCAATTTTTTTTTTTTAGGCGCCTCAAAAGTTGTCTGATTACCCGCAATTTTTTTTGAGGCGCCTCAAAAGGTGGGTACAGGAAATGATGGGTAGTTGATGAAAAATGAGGCGGTTTCTAGGAAAGGGACAGCTGATGGCATCCCACATGCTCGCCCCATACCCTCCCTCCCTGCCCTCTGCCTGTGTCGGAGAACACCTTTCCACTGGCATTGAAGGAGTTCCCTCCCTCACCCCGTAGGTTCCCTCCTAGTGGCGTGCTGCTAGATGTAGGAATGAAAGCAACTAATTCACTATGACGAGAGAATAACAAGCAACAAGCATGGATTGGGCGTTCCTGACTGAACTTACCTTGCCCAGGCTCCAGTCGCACATTTCACAATGTGCGGCTCGAGTTTGGGCTGGTCCTCCCTGATTGGTTCAATACATTTCGCCCCTCGGTCCTTTCCCTCCCATTCCTAACGTCAAAGTCGTCCTCCCCTTACTCCACCTCGAATCCTATTACAACATCGCTACACCCCCAAACGATACCCGCGCTACACTGTTATCACATATGCACACAGTGCATATTTGGTGACAGCTGTCGGAGAACACCTTTCCACTGGCACCTGCTCTCCTTCCTGTTGCCAAGCTGGTTTCTTCCCTTGCGTGTGGTGCTTCACCTCAGCCACTCCCTGCCCCCTCCTGTGCCCGAGCTCGAGCGGCTTGAGCTCGGGTCACAGGACCACTCTGCTGAGGCTTAGCTCCTCGAATGACTGCCGTGTTGGTCTGATGCTCCTTCAGCTGCGCTCCTTTCTCATTCTCCAGCACTAACACCCCAGATGGGCGCACTTCCTTCACCCTCCATTTCTCGGTCCCCACCCCGACGTCCAGCGTGTCCTGCTTCGCCCGTTTCAGGTACACCTCCTGACCTTCGGTGACTCCCTTCTTTGCCCTTCCCGACCCCTGTTGCTGCCGCTGCTCATAGCGTCTTGCATCTCTCAGCTGCGCAGTGTGGAGGTTCTCCAAGGCCGCTGGCATCATGACTCGCAGGTACCTTGCTCTGACTTCAGACAGTGCTACCCAGTTGTCTATGGTGCCCGCCGTTACTGTGTCTGTCAGGACCCGTGGAGCTCCCACCGGTAGTATTGGCTCGCATCCGAACAAGAGGCTGTAGGGTGAGTGATCTCGCAGGGCTGCTTGCTTTCCAAACCGGTACCCAGCCGCAATCCAATGCAGCTCGTCATCCCAGTCCCTCTTCCTCTTCTCCCCATATGCCCGCAATCCTCTTTTTATGGTCTGCACCAGCCGCTCAGTCAACCCGTCACTCTGGGGATGATAGCGGGAGGTGCGGCGGTGGGTAATGCCTGCCTCCTCTAACATTTTCTTGAACTCCCCTTGAAACTCATTCCCCTGGTCCGTGAGGACCTCTCCGCACGCCCCAAATCTGCACAGCACTTGCTCCTTGAACGCTGCTGCCACATGTCTTGCGTTTTTGCTTGGGATCGCCCTGACCTCTAACCATTTGCTCACGTGCTCCACCATGAGCACGATATATTGTTTCCCTCCCCTGCTCAGAGGCAGCTCTCCCGCCAAATCCAGGGACCACCTGAAGCCCAGGCCGCGGATGGGCAGCGACTGCAGCTCGGCCTTAGCTTGCGTCAGGTTCGCCCTGCTTCTTTGGCATGCTTCACAATTCTCCACCCACTTCTTCACCTGCCCTCGCATTCCTTCCCACCACCATCCCGTCTTCAGCAGCTGCACCGTCCTTTCATGCCCATAGTGGCCCAGCTTAGTGTGCACTTCTTGGATCACCGCCTCCCTCTCGCCTGGCGCTGGCACCAGCTTCCACCCATCCTCTGTCTGTATCTGCAGCTGCTGCCTGTACCACCTGTAGTGGTGCCCCCTTGCTCTGACCCTCTCCGTCGTCTCCTCATCCTCTTCCGTTTCCCCTCTCACCCACCTCATGGCTGGTTCATCCTCCCAGATGTCTGCTGGCCCTCTGCTCCCCTTAGCCCCTTTTAGCTCGGCCTGCTTTGCCAGCAGGATCAGTGTCGCCGTGGGCTCTGGTGGTGGCGGGTTGCGGGAGAGGCCGTCCACGTGCTGCAGGGTTTTTCCCGGCCTGTGCCGGATCTTGAAGTCATACTCCTGTAGTTCCATGGCCCACCGTGCGTTCCTACCAGTCAGCCCCGGTGTGGTCATCAGCCACGTTAGTGGCTGGTGGTCCGTCACCAATGTAAACTCACGGCCCTGCAGGTACACTCTGAAGTGGCCCACAGCCCACACTGCTGCTAATCCTTCCCCTATGTACGAGCTGTACTGCGCCTCTGCCGAGTTGCAGCTCCTGCTCGCATATGCGACCACTTTCTCATCCCCCTCTATTTCCTGGCAGAGTATGGCCCCTATTCCTTGACTGCTCCAGTCAGTGTAGAGAGTGAACGGCTGGTCCGCTACCGGCAGCTGCAGCACCGTTGCTGTCTTTACCGCTGTCATTAAGTCCTTCAGTGCCTCTTTCTGTGCCTCTCCCCATTCCCACGCTTTGTCCTCCCTCAGCATCCCATTCAGCACCGTGGCTCGCTTGCTGAAGTTGGGCACAAACCGCCTGTAGTAGTTTAGGAAGCCTAGCACCGCCCGCAGCCCCGACTTATCCCTGGGCTCCCGCAGCTTGTCCAGGACCTCCACCTTGGCCTGTTGAATCCCAATCTGCCCCCCTGTCACCTCGTATCCCAGGTACAGTACGGTCTGCTCCCCCCACCTACACTTCTTCGGGTGGCAGGTGAGTCCTGCCCCCTCTATAGCACTCAGCGTCCTCTCCACATCCTGTAAGTGCTGCTGCTCTGTAGCGCTGAAGATCACCACATCGTCATTGTAGCATGCAGCACACCCCACATTACGCAACACTGTATCCATGACCCTCTGAAACACGGCGGACGCGTTCCTCAACCCGAAGGGCATGTACAGCCATTCGTACAGCCCATCTGGCCCATGAAAAGCAGTTTTCTTGATGTCTTCCTCTTTGATCTTGATCTGATTGAACCCTTGGCGCAGGTCCAGCGTCGTGAAGAAGACCCCATCCGCCAGCTTATCGAAAATCTCCTCGGCCATCGGCATCGGGTACCTGTCGGGTACGGTGATTTTGTTGAGTGCTCTGTAATCACCGCACATCCTCCTGCTCAGAATTTCCCCCGTTAGGTCTTTTCTTGCAGCTACTACGGTCGGTGAGGCATACTCTGACTCAGACCGCCTAAACAGCCCGGCTTCCAGCAATTCCCTGATTTTCTCCTTACAAATTTCCTCATCCCCAGGTGGCATCTTCCTCCTTCGGTGGAACACGGGCACTGCACTGCTCAGCTTCAGCTCCATTTCCTTCACTTTGCACTTTCCCAACTCCTGCAGGGTGAACGCAAAGCATTTCCTATGCTTCGCCAGCAGCTGTTGCATGGCCTCCTTCCCCTCTTCACTCATCGAATCCCCTATTGTCCACTTTTCCTTCTCCCCCTCCTGGCAGCTCCATGCTCCCTGTGGGACTGGCGCAACGTCTTTCTCGTCTTCCTTATGCCCCCAGCTCAGAACCGTCTCTCTCCACATCCGCTGAATCAGCCACCTCAGCATGTGGCCGTCCATGGCGTTCTCCAGCGCCCTCCTCCTTTCTTCCTCGCTCACTCCTGGGGCTGCCGTGACATCCTCCCCATATCCCATGGCCAGCTCCCTCTCCAGCGCGGTTGGTTCCTCCCATTGCCCTCTCTTATGGTCATATATCAGCCCTGGCCCCGGCTTCCCCGCTTCCCACTTATATCCGGCTGCCCCCTGATAGGCGACCAACGTGGGCAGCGCCTGTCTATCTTGCCCCACTTGATTACAAGGGTAATGCCTGCTGTAGCTCTTTCTGCACACCGCTGCTGGGGTCCGCCCCGGCTCTAGGATGTCCTGTACCTTTCTGTCCAAAGCTCTCCTCACCCCATCTGCCTCCTCCTGCAGGTCCTGCACCGGGACGACGTTCTGCCAATACATCCTGAGCCGGTGTGCATATGACCCCATCCTTGCCGCATCAGAGCTCATGCCCTTGCCCAATTGTCTCTTGATCTTCTCCCTCACTAGCCGAATTGGCTCTCGCTTGTCACCTTCCAAGTCCAGGTTCTCCAGCAGGTAAGCCACCCTGCCTTGCCTCTCCTGCAACCAGTCCATAATCCGAAACAGGTCCTCCATCAGCATTGTCCTGGGGTCCAATTCTCCCTTTCCTTTCCCGGCCCACGACACCCCTTGACACTCCCACCCTGCCCCCAGCAGGTCCACCGGAGGATTCTCCTGCTCTTGCTCCTCTGGTTTCTCTCCCTTCTCCCGTTCCTTCCTCACGTGATCCTTTCTGCCGTCCCTCCCTCCGCTCCGCAGCCCCATCTCCTCCCTGCCTCTCCAGGCCATGAGAGCACACTATACATCTTGTTCCACCTCTTCTCCCTCTTCATCCCTGGCATACATCCCCGCTTCTGCTTCCCGCTTCGGTCCTAATGCTTGCAGCTGCGATTGCAGCCTGCTGATCTGCCGCTCCAGGTCCTCTGGGTTTCTCTTTGCTCCTCCTTCCCGCTGATAGCAATCTTTCGCCTCGTGCCCCTTCTTGCCACAGATCTCACACCTTGGGGCGTCAAGACACTCCTTCCTTCGGTGCCCTGGCTTCCCGCAGCAGTCACAGTTCTTGCAGTCCCTGCGAAGATGCCCCACCTGTCCGCATCTGTGACAAGTCCGGGCATCCGTCCTGCCCTCCCCTCGACCCTCCGGTCTCCCCCGTTCCTCGGGAATCATCGCTGCTGCCCATGTTGGCCTGCGGCTGCGCTCCGTCGACTTGGGCAGGTATGCTTCGTACTTCCTTTGTGCGAGCTCCACCTTTTCTACTAACTCGAACACCACTTCCAGACTCGCATCTGCCCCCAACTCATACACCCTCATCCTCAAGCCACCCCCCAAGCTCTCGTCCAGCCCCCCCAGGAACTTGCTAATCAGGAGGCTGGTGTCCGTGCACGTCACGTCCTCTGCCACGTTGATCAGCCGGTTGTAGTAGGTGAGCAATGACTCCATCCGTCCCCTTCTGAACTCTTGAAACTCCCTTATCCGCTCTGCAGTGTGTCCTGGAAACTGTCGCTGCAGCCGGCGGAGAAACGCTTCTGTGGGGTCTTCACCGTACCTTCCCGCCCTCCACAGCAGCTCATCCATCCTCATCCGATACAGTGTCTCAGCCTCCCCCTCTAGCGTGTTTGGTAAGCTCAGAAAGAAGTCCACCGGGTCCATGTCGCTCCTGTCGCACCTGTACCGCACGTTCCCCACTTGCATTAGGTAGTTCTTGAGCGAGGGCCCCGCGCGTTGGTCTCCTCAGAACCTCGCCGGCACCTCCACTCGTGGTGCCGCGGCCGCACTCCCGCGCCCTTCTCCCCAGGATTCGCTTGTAGCTCCTGCCTATCTTTCGTGTGTCCCTCTTTGCCTCGCTCTCTCTATTCCTTCCCTGGCCTCCCTGGCTCGTTCTGCACTGTACGCCAAACTTCCGCCCTCATCCTTGCTTCCATAGTGGCCCCACCCCGCCCCCTTCCGAGGGTTCCTTGGGCTCGTCCGCCCTCCCCTGTCTCGCCCTTGCTGGCCTGGTGAGTAGCGCGCCTTCGCCCACTCTTCCCGCCGAGTCTCGCGCCGATGCTTCTCTGGTGATGGTGACCACTCCTCCCTCCTTCCACCATGCTGCCGACGAACGTACAGCGAGTGCTGCCCCTCCTGGGCAGATCTGGCGAGCGTGATCCGACATAACCCCAGCCTTCACGCCTCTGGTGCAGTTCGGGCAAGCGATCCCCTCCTCCGCGCCAGCCTCCACGTCGCGGACGTGGATCGGGCGAGCCTTCCCCGCCGCCGCGCCAGCCTTCGCGTCGTGGACGCGGATCGGGCGAGCCTTCCCCGCCGCCGCGCCAGCCTTCGCGTCGCGGACGCGGATCGGGCGAGCCTTCCCCGCCGCCGCGCAAGCCTTCGCGTCGCGGACGCGGATCGGGCGAGCCTTCCCCGCCGCCGCGCCAGCCTTCACGTTGCGGACGCGGATCGGGCGACCCTTCCCCGCCGTCGCGCCAGCCTTCACGCCGCGGACGCGGATTGGGCGAGCGCTCCCCTCCGCCGAATCAGCCTTCATGCAGCGGACGCGTGTCGGGCGGTCGCTCTCTGCCCCCACGCCGGCCTTCGTGTCGTTGATACGGATCGGGCGTGTGCTCCTTGCCGCCGCGCCCACCTTCTCGCTGCGGATGCGGATCGGGCGAGCGCGAATCGTCGCTTCGCCTTGCTTCGCGCTGCCGATTCCTTTCCGGTGTGCGCGACCGTTCTTCTCGTTTTTCTCCGCGCCGTCCTTGCTGTGCGGACACGCGCGATCCTGCATTTCGCACTCCTCGGTCCTGCTGACGCGGATCGGGAGGGCCTCCCTCCCGACGCTTGCAGTCTTCTTCGTGCTGCTCCTCTCGTGTGCCCTCCGCCTCCTCAACACTCGCCTTGCTCTGTCCTGCCGTTCCCTCCATCTGCGCTGAATCAGCCTCGTCGGCCCCAACGGTGGTGCTGTGATTCTCATCTGCGTCTTCTTCTAGGCGCTGCTGATCAGCGTTGTCTTCGTCCGCGCCTTTTCCAAGGTCTCGGGAACCTTCTTCGCCATCCGTGTCAGAATCTCCTCCTCGACCAGGACGCCATCCGTGTACGCCTCGCGCGCGGTCGCTTTCTCTGCGCCCGCGGTATCCATCTTCCGGCGAGGGATGTGCTCTGGCGTCGCGGCGATACCTATGCTCCCCTCCGTATCCGCCGCGCGCGTCCGTCCGCCACGGATCGCTTCTCGTCATGGCGGACCCCACCTCCACAACTTCATCACGGGCAGCGCCTTCTCCACGTCGATCAGAAGGCTGGAGAACCCGATCAGCGCGAAAGGCCGGCCTTCTTGGCGATCGTTCCAGCGAGCGCCCCCGTTCCTGAGAATGTTCGCGCCGCGGCCGTAGCTCTTGCTCGCGACGACTATACTGCCTGCCCCTTCGGAGCTCGTACTTCTCCATGCTTGTTGCTTGTTATGAAGGAGTTCCCTCCCTCACCCCGTAGGTTCCCTCCTAGTGGCGTGCTGCTAGATGTAGGAATGAAAGCAACTAATTCACTATGACGAGAGAATAACAAGCAACAAGCATGGATTGGGCGTTCCTGACTGAACTTACCTTGCCCAGGCTCCAGTCGCACATTTCACAATGTGCGGCTCGAGTTTGGGCTGGTCCTCTCTGATTGGTTCAATACATTTCGCCCCTCGGTCCTTTCCCTCCCATTCCTAACGTCAAAGTCGTCCTCCCCTTACTCCACCTCGAATCCTATTACAACATCGCTACACCCCCAAACGACAACCACGCTACACTGTTATCACATATGCACACAGTGCATATTTGGTGACACCTGCTTGTGCAGGCCCTTATCCCATGCAACATGCCCCAATGCACCCTGCACTCATTCAACCCCCACATGCACATGCCACATGCTCGCCCGACCCGATACCCTCCCTGCCCTCACTTTCTTGTGAAGGCCCTTATCCCATGCAACATGCCCCAATGCACCCTGCACTCACTCAACCCCCACACTCACATGCCACATGCTCGTTCCATACCCTCCCCGCCCTCACCTGCATGTGGTTTCCCCCGTGCCAACGCAGCAGCCTCCGTCCCGACAGCAGAGCAAAGATGAACGCCGAAGTATATGCCCTCATCGAGTTCTCCAGCCCTTACACTCACACCCAACACCCCAAAAACCAACACCCCTTCACTCTAAAAACCAGAACCCTACACACCCTAAACCCAGAAAATCCCTCACCTGCTTGTGGTTTCCCCCGTGCCAACGCAGCAGCCTCCGTCCCGACAGCAAAGCAAAGATGAACGCCGAAGTGTACGCCCTCAGAGAGTTCCCCAGCCCAAAGCGCGGCATCCAAATGAGCCAGCGCTCCTTCAGCATGAAATCCCGCTGGTCTTGGGGGAGATTCTCCTGCTGGTCTTGAGGTATGGGCTCGTGATTTTGCTTCTCCTGCTGGCGCTGCAACTTCCTGAGAAGCTTGAGCTCGGAGGCACCCGCGTCCGAGCCCCATATGGGGGCGTTGACATAGGCTGATTCGGGGAGGATGCCTTGGCACGAAGGGGTGTTCTGAAAAAGAGGGGGAGGGAGAGAGGGGGAAGGGGATGGGGGGGAAGGAGGAATGGGTTTGTGATACTCCTGCTGGCGCTGCACTTTACTGAGAAGCTTGAGCTCGGAGGCACCAGCGTCAGAGCCCCATATGGGGGCGTTGACATGGGCTGATTCAGGGAGGATGCCTTGGCACGAAGGGATGTTCTGAAAAAGAGGGGGAGGGAGAGAGGGGGAAGGGGATGGGGGGGAAGGAGGAATGGGTTTGTGATACTCCTGCTGGCGCTGCACTTTACTGAGAAGCTTGAGCTCTGAAGCACCAGCGTCAGAGCCCCATATGGGGGCGTTGACATGGGCTGATTCAGGGAGGATGCCTTGGCACGAAGGGGTGTTCTGAAAAAGAGGGGGAGGGAGAGAGGGGGAAGGGGATGGGGGGGAAGGAGGAATGGGTTTGTGATACTCCTGCTGGCGCTGCACTTTACTGAGAAGCTTCAGCTCTGAAGCACCAGCGTCAGAGCCCCATATGGGGAGGCTGACATACGCTGATTCAGGCAGGATGCCCTTATACGAGGGGGTGTTCTGAAAAAGGGGGAGGGGGGGGGAGGGGGAAGGGGATGGGTGGGAAGGACGAATGCGCTTGGGATTCTGTTGCTGGCGCTGCAATTTTCTGAGAAGCTTGAGCTCTGAAACACCACCCCACCATCGACAGCCCCATACAAGGAGTGAAATGGGCTGATTCGAGGAAGATTAGGCATGAGCCCGTTTTCGCATTTTTAGGCGGGTAGTCGGGTTGGGTCGGGTCGGGTCGGGTCAGGTTGGGTCGGGTCGGGTCGGGTCGGGTCAGGTCGGGTCGGGTCGGGTCGGGTGCCCGGGCTTGACTCGCCCGGTTCAGAGTTCTGAGAATATTCGCCCCGTCGACTTTCGAGTCAACTCAGAACTTACCTTCACGCCATACCAGGCGTCATCCTGCATAAACATACATGCCACGCCAGCTGTTCATCCGCCTCGCCACGGGCCACACAGCCATTGGTTGGTAGCTGTCTTGGATCCGAGGCAGCAACACTTCACTTAGCTAAGCACTTAACTTAATTTCTCTTACCTTGATGTCGTACCGGGCGTTCCCCCGAATGAACATGCCGTTCCATCTGCCGCCCAGCCTCTCAACGGGCCGCGCCCAGTCGGGTTTTGAGTCGATTCAGAACTCACCTTGAAGTCGTACCGGGCATCCCCCCACATGAACATGCCATGCCAGCTTCTCCACGGGCCCCCGCGCCCAGCTTCTCCACGGGCCCCCGCGCCCAGCTTCTCCACGGGCCCCCGCGCCCAGCCTCTCAACGGGCCCCCGCGCCAGCTGGCGCCCAGTCGGGTTTTGAGTCGATTCAGAACTCACCTTGACATTGTACCAGAAGCCCCCGTGCTGCTTCGCAGAATATGCAAAGCAGGCAGCAGCACTACCCCTTAGCTAAGCACTTCACTTATCTTCACCTCACCTTGATGTCGTACCCGGCGTCGCCCCGCATGAACATGCCATGCCAGCTGGCGCCGAGCCTCTCAACGGGCCACTGCCATTGGTAGTATCTTCGCGGGTCCTCTTTACTGCCCGCCTCCACGCCCAGAATTTCCTCTTTATTGCCCGCCTCGTTTACCCACTGAAACGCCGATGTGGATTTCTCCCAAGGCCCGCCCACCCACCCCTCCACCAGCCTCCTCCCTCTCCTTCTCCTTCTCGTCCCATTTGGCGTTTCAATCGCTGTCCTCTCCGTCTTCATCGGCAGCCCAGCCATCCATCCGTCCACCAGCCTCCTCCTTTTCTTGCTTCCCTTTCTCCTCTTGCTTGTCTTTTCAATCGCTGTCATCTCGGTATTCTCCGGCAGCCCTGTCATCCATCCGTCCACCAGCCTTCGTTTCCGCTCATTGCTGCTTTCCATCATCTGAACCAGCCCTGATCTATCAGGTTGATCTCCGCCGTCCATCTCTCTACTAGAAGATCCTTCCTCCCCGCTGCCTTGATCCGTTTCTGATTGTCCATTCCCGACCCCACTCCTCTCCTCCAACCCTCTCTCCCCCCTCGCTTTAGTCACATTCCAGTCACATCCCTCCCATTCTTCACACGGCAGAATCAGCTCCGCAAGCGGGTCAACTGCATCATATCTTTCGGTCGGCGGTATCCAACGGTCGTTGCCCGTCTCGCGAGAGTATGTGAACAATGTTTGACGGCCGTCAGTTGACCGGTATTTCCCGTTAGAGAATCGCGCAGAGTGTGACGCTGTGACTGGTAGCCGAACCAGCAGTAGAAGAACTAGTAGTGAGATACTTAGCAAGCGTAATTGACTGCAAATGATTACAATAGCGCCAGCTGAAGCTACCATTTTAGTGGACACAAGGAGAACTACTACTACTACTAGTAGTGGTGAAAGGCGCTCGGAAATATTTTTCCCGGAAAAGGTGACGAGAAACCCACAAACCGCTGGAAAATCCCTAGGTAGTTCACTTTCTTTCGCACACGAGACAGCAAAGCCAGTCTAATGCAAACTGACGGGAAGCTCTTAGTTGGAAACATCGTGTTCACGCCAAGCTGTTACTACTGTACAAGTAAACACGTTCACGCGATTGACAAGAGCTATGGCGGCCAGGTTGGATCCAGAAATTCAGGCAGTGGGTGAAGGGAAGGCGTTTATGGGGGGAGGGGGGAGGGGGGAGGGGGGGAGGGATGTTTCTCGCTTGGAGTACAAGCTGTGCTCCACAGCTTGCGGAGTACAAGGTATGAAGCTGTCCTAGCAAGCTTTGATTGGCTGAGCTACGTCACTTCCTGTTCCGACGTGTAGGTATGAAGCTGTGCTCCACAGTACACTACATTTTCGTTTCTGCTTTCACGAGATGGACGAATCCGATTTCTCCGTTCACTTTTTCCTCGCTGGAAGTCGTGTAGGTTCGCGCCGTCACTGTTCACCTGGTTGCATTGCTCTGATTGGTTTGCCTACGTCGCATTTTCGAAGTTGGACTCCCTGGTTACATCCCAGTCGGAGGTGCAGATAGCATTTTCGTTTCCGGTTTCACGAGATTCGCAAATATTGTTGCCTAAATTGTTGCCTCGCCGATAGTAATGTCGATTCGCGAATTTCGTACTCACTGTTCCCCAAGATGGTTCAGGGGAGCAGGTAACTTGTTTCGGGAATGTCGCAAAGCGCAGTTTGCGACAATCGTAAACACATTCTTTTCAATCGCAAACGCAGTTTGCGACAATCGCAAAGCCCAAGACCTGAATTACAAAAAAAGGAAGGCAAACTGTGCACAGTTTGCCTTCCGAACCCACAGTTGACTTCCCGAGCCAGGCTGGTTACCAGAAAACATCGCGCCAAAGAACGGAGTCGTGGAGCAGGAAGGGTTTGGTTGGCGAGAGTCCCAACCATACCCTCCTGAAGGAACAAGAGCTCAAAATGTGCACAGTTTGCCCTTCTATGGTAATTCAGGTCGTGCTATTCCCATAGTATGCGAACCGATTATATCATGCTAAGAGATAGAATAGAAGCCACTAAAGCAGGCCATGAGCACTTTCATCTTTCTTCCTAGTCGTCCTACGGCCCATTTATAACTCCAGGCGTATCTATCCTACGGCCAATCTAGAGTCCCCGAGTTTTTTTGCGGTCAACCTCAATATCCCTCACATCGTCCTCCCCATTGACATACCGTCGCCCACGCTTCCCCGTTTCCCCGTCGCCCTTACCCCTCCATCGCCCTTACCCCTTTCCCCTCCCGTTGCTTCCTCGTCAACGTCGTCGTGCCCCATTCCGATGCTTCTTTTACCTTTTCGATCACCCTCTTTCTCCGTTGTCGTGTCCCCACCACTCCTCCTGACTCGGTCGCCCTGACATCTCATTTGACCCTATCGCCTTCCGCGTCCCCCACGCTTCTTCCCACCGTCTCTCACACACCTCCCCACGCACAGGCCCACGCTTCCCATCCCCGTCGCCCACGCTTCCCCTTACCGCCGCTCACGCTTCCTCCTGCCTTCCCCCACGCTTCCCCACACCGTCGCTCACGCCTTCCCCCACCTTCCCTCAAGCTTCCCCGCTCATCTCCCACGCTTCCTCCCACCGTCGCCCACGCTTCCTCCCACCGTCGCCCACGCTTCATCCCACCGTCACCCACGCTTCATCCCACCGTCACCCACGCTTCCTCCCACCGTCACCCACGCTTCCACCCGCCGTCGCCCACGCTTCCCCCCACTGTCGCCCACGCTCCCCCCCACCGTCGCCCACGCTCCCCCCCACCGTCGCCCACGCTCCCCCCCACCGTCGCCCACGCTTCCCCCCGCCGTCACCCACGCTTCCCCCCGCCGTCACCCACGCTTCCCCCCGCCGTCACCCACGCTTCCCCTTCCGTCGCCCACGCTTCCCCCCACCTTCGCCCACGCTTGCCCTCCCATCACCTTTGTTTAGCCTTGCTGCCGACCTCCCATCCCCCCCACGTCGTCATCACTCTCCTGCCTATCACGTTCCCCTCTTCAACATCGTTTCTCCACCAACGCCTCCCACCCTCTCATCCCTTGCTATCGTATTTAGGTTCGTCGTTGCTTCCCTTCCCCATTGCACCAACCTCTTTCTCCCACTTTCCCCCTTTCACTTCCTCCCATCCACCCTTTTTCGCTTCCTCCTTTCCACTCATCTTCCCTTCCTCTTATCAGCCCGTCCTCCCATCCCCCTGTCCTCCCATCCCTCTGTCCTCCCATCCCCCTGTCCTCCCATCCCCCTGTCCTCCCATCCCCCTGTCCTCCCATCCCCCTGTCTTCCCATCCCCCTGTCCTCCATCTTCCTGTCCTCTCATCCTCCCGTTCTATCATCCGCCCTTCCTTGCATCCTCCCTTCCTCTCACCCCCCCATCCTCCCTTTTCCTTCCTTCCTCGCTCCCTTCCTCCCTTCCACCCAACCCAGAGTTCGTGACTCGTGTTTGTGCTGTGCAGGTCTGCTATACGGTACATCCAGCTGTGATGTGTTTGCGATTTGATAATAGCAATTTGACGAATAGCTATGCCATGTATTGATGTTGGAAGCTTCTCATAATACACCACTTTGTGATTTGGAGCTGACATGCACATGACCACTAAGCAAGTGCAACAAAGCAAAATATATATCCATGAAGGGTGCCAAGAGTGGACTATAGGCACAAGTATGAAGCTAGGAGGTGGTAACTTTTCAGCCCACTGCTGTTGGGGGGATCCGTCACCCATGGTGCTGGGCGCATGTACAAGCATGGATGGAACGGGGAGGGAAGAGGGGATATGGCAGAATAAGCGAGGGGTGGAGGTGGAGGTACAGAAGGGCATGTATGGGAGGAGTGGACAAGACAGAGGGGTGAGCAAAGGGGGAAAGAAAGTGAGCTGGGTGGAGAAGGGGGATAGCAAAGGGCATAGCCAGAAAGTCAGAGACGAAGGAGTGGCTGTAACAGGGGAAATGAGAGGACTTGGGGAGGGAAAGGGTTGAACGAAGGGTTAAACGGAGTGGAAAGATGGGTGAGTACATGGGGGAAAGGAGTGAGCAGAGAGGGGGAGAGAGGAAACAAGGGGTAAGAGAGTGAGCAGGGGAATTTAGGGCGAGCAAAGGGTGCATCTCGGAAAAGGGAAGTGCGAAAAGCAACTTGAAAGTAACAAAACCGCAACTCAAGGGTTACTTGAAAAACGCAAGAAAAAAGTCAAGGTTCAAAATCGTGGGTGCTGAAGTGACTTGCAAAGCAACTTTTCCGTCACCTTATTGGCACAAACTGCTTTCTAGTACGCAACTAACCCGGTATGCGTTAAATCAACCTCTAAGTTGCGGAAAGTCACTTCTAAGCAACCACTGCAAAAGTGTCACGAGTACGCCACGTGGCATACAACGTACTTGAGATGAAACTGAAACATGCTGACGTGGCTGACATTGTACGCTAACGACAACCGTCGGATCAGATTCGTAACGACGCACACAAACTAGCCACGTGGACCAATCAGACAAGAGTTCAAGGCGTGCGATATCGAAATTTTATTGGCTGGCGATTGGAACAGCGACAATTTCGATTTGCGCTTCTCTCTTATGGGTATGCGTTTTTTTTAGCACAAATAAAGAATTCTGTATACATAGTTTGTCTTACAAGGCTTGCGCACGCACAGTCTACCCAACCATAGTAAAATTACTACCGTAACACGCAGCCAAGAAGATGTGTGAACTCCTCTAATAAGAATACGAATGTAACCTGCACAAACATAGAAATGAAAACCGTGTTAAACAAGTATAACAAGTCTGCCATTCCACCACTCACCATTGGTGTTAAAATGATGGAGTATGCTCAATGGTGAAAAACATGCATCTTACGATTCTGGTTGACAAGGACTGCGTAAACTGGTTGGAGCTGCAAAACATACACACACAACTCTTTATAACGTGTTCCGCTGACATTGCGCCATAAGGAGAAAAGGAGTTGCAAACGTATGAAAGAGTAAAAATTATGAAACGTAGGAACTGCAAACACAAAACTCAAGGCCTAAACTGGATACTTCGCGGCGATACTTGCGTGCATGCCCACCGCGAGAAGGCTGAGATCTGTCGACCTGAAAACCGTCATCCTGATATGTCGTTGCGACAGCATTAGTTGCAACAGATTGGAGGTTGGAGTTTGGAGGGGAGGAGAGAGAGCGGGTGGGAGAAAATCGTCAGTGTACATTAGACTTAGATGTGTTAAACAAATAGATAGTTGTATGCAAGATGGATTCGTTTTGCGCGACGACAAATGCTAAAAAACGTATACCTCACAAGCGAAACGAATACCATCGCACAGAACTAAACGTATTCCTTAACAGCAGAACTAAAACCATTATTTAGATAAAAACGCATACCTTACCATCGAAACGAAT